CTGCTTTCCAGCTGGGTGGCCCCCAGCATGTGCTGGTGCCAGGGTTTTTCCTCCCTAGGTGCATAGTAAAGAGGAAAAACTTCATCTTTGTCATCATGTCACTGCAACTATCAGACATCTCTTTAACCTGCACACACAAGCATGGTGGGACATCTGCATTCACATGGAGTCTCACAGCTACTGCCAGACTACGTGCAAAAGTCTTTCCAGGCAGAGAGGCAGAGGCCTTTGAAATTTGGTTCTACAGGACTTCACTGGCTCAGAAAGACTATGAACACCAGGAGGAATTCTGCATGCAGACAGCTTGACAGTCAGGATTCATATGAATAAATATAAGCAAAACCAATGACCTACAGACAGTTGAGTACCTGTAGAGATTTCCATGCCCACACCATGATTTAAGTCACCAAATACCTTTGCAGTTTTGCATTTGAATGATATACTCAGTTCTAATGATGAGAGTGTTACATTTTCTGCCAGTGCCATAAATAAAGGTCAAACTATATTTAACAAGTTGAGTGGCTTTGAACAAGTAGTTCAGAGTCCCGAAGGATTTGAAAGCCATTTGGAAGAATGTCCTGCCTGTGTGACAGAGCCCAGATCCTGAATAGATACAATGCAAGTTTGGCTCCAGCTCCTGAACAAATGCAATATGTATTTGGCTCCAGATCCTGACTGCATTTAAAAAGCTGCAAAAATCTGGAGCTGTTTGGGAGAAAAAAAAAGGATGACAAAATTTACAAGGGATGAAACAACAACAAAAATACCTCCAGATCTCCTCTTTTTCTCCCTTATTTTTCTGACTCCAGAGACAAATCTCCAGTCTACTGACATGGAGACCCTACACATGCCTGGCACACAGCAGCTACCTTTGGATGTAGATGATCTTCAAAGTCCCCTCCAACCCAAGCCATTCTGTGATTTTATGGTAAGGCTCTTTTTAAGATACATCCTTAAAAGCCCCACAGCTGTGTCCTCTGGGCAGCCTGCCAGGCTTCTTCCTCTGGGTGCGTTTGCATGGAGGTGCAGCAGAGCAGTGGCCAGCACCCACGGAGGAGAACGGCCATGCTGCTACTCCATGGAGTGACCCAGAGGCCTCCTTCCACTGGCTGGGTATAAATCTCTATGTATAAAACTCCTGTTTTTGAGTCAACTGCAAGTTCTCATTTGAAATTATTACTAGCTCTATGTTTTTCCTGGTATTTATTATCTTTTTCTAAGCAGTATTTGGACTGCTGACTTTGCTTCTGAAAAATCAAATGCAACGTCATTAACAGGCTGCTTTGAGAAATGGTTTCATATTCATTTTCTGTTAAAAAGTCCTTTCAGGCAAACAAAACTCACTAATAAAGCTACTCGAACTTAGTGTGTACTAAGTGTGCACTTAGTGTGTACTTAGTGTGCACCGAAATCTGTGTGTACGCAACAATATTATTTGTTTGAACAGTCATCCCACCAGTTCCAGGAAAAATGACTTTCTAAGCATTGAAGGATATAAGCAGAAGATAAAAGCATATGAGGTTTGGTTAACACAGCAGTGGTAGGAGGGCAGGTAAATCACCAACGGGCTGGTTTCATCGCACATGTTTGTACATGTTGTGCTCCCTCAGCACTCTGAGCACTGCAAAACATGATTTCTTGAACATATTTTTATCTAGGAGGTTGCTTAAAAAGAAATGACAGCTCAGCTTCTCAAGAGCTAAAACCAGGATGAACGATGCAAGAAGTCCTTTCTGTGTGCCAGGACCCGAGGAGCCCAGCTAGCTACAAGACTTATAACAGCCATGAGTTTTTAAGACTCATGGTACATGTATTAACATGAATAAAACAATCACCCTGCCAGATGCCACCATCCAGTGTTTCTGATTGACTGGGCAGGTCCAGCTGCAGCATGACCACTGTAGAGATGCAAAAAGTAGTGGAAGTCATTTGTGTAGGACCTGCAGACTGGGTGGTCAAAGTCTCAGCCACTCCATCTCCCCAGGCGAGGAGCTTGTGAAAAGTCTTGGTGACAACAGGGCACAAACCCTCTGACAGGCAGAAGCCTCAGTGTCTGCTGGACGTACCTTGGTAGTGCTAGCTGGCCAACTCCAATAGGGGAAGAAAACCTAGTGTCTCTTGCTACGAGAGGACTTCCTTCTTCAGCTACTTGCAGAATGGCTCCAGTCAAAAGCAAATATCTCTATTGCACCTGGGTATTTTCCAAACTTTTCTCTGTTTCTTCAATGATGTTTCTTCAATGATTAAAAAAAAAAAAAAAAAAAAAAAAGCCTTTTTTTAATTATCATTACCAAATATATAAATACTGCTATATACCATGAAAGTAAGACACAAATCAGCAATTCCTTCAACCAGACTGGCATGTTCAAAAAATAGGCAATGACCATTGTTTTACACAGAATATTTTCCCATAAATTTTAAAAAAGAGTGCTAAAGGACAAAGAAGGCAATGAGGACAAACTGACCTCAGGTGTAAATAAATTATTTTTTGTTTGTTTTGTTTTTACTAATCCAGATGATACTGTCATTTTTTTCAGTTTTAATACAGATCTCAGGATTTGATTTTCTTTACCATGACTCATCTCTTCAAAGCAATCATTCTGACCTTTTATCTTAAGTACAAGATCTTTTCCCATGAAAATTGTAGGGATTTTTTTATATAGAAGTATACCTCAGAAAACTCACTTAGAAAGCAGAAGACAGGAGAGTTAAAAAAACAACAAAAGTTTATAACTGTCATTCTCCTGGTTTTTGGGAGCTTAACTTAGACTTTGCAGAACTTGGAACTAGCAATGTTAATTTATCAACATTTGCAGTATGTGCTTGAGCTTATGTGGTGTTTTTACCCTGCTGGGGAGCCAAACTCCACCACAGCCACTTTGTCACTCCCCCTCCTCAAAGGACAAGGGGATAAAATATGATGAAAAGAAACAAAGAAAAGGGCTCACAGGTTGAAGTAAGTACAGGGAGATCATCACAGGCAAAACAGACGGCATAAGGAGAATAAAATAATTTATTGCCTATTACTAACAAGATAGATCAGTGAGAAACTAGAAGCAAATCAAAAACACCTTCCCCCCATCCACCCTCTTCCACCTCCTCATCCCAAGCGGTGCAGGGGAATGGGGGCTGCGGTCAGTCCCTGACTTCAGGGACTCCTCCGCTCCTTCACGGTCACTCTGCCCCTGCTCCACAGGGTTCATCCCCCAGGAGCAAACTGCTCCAGCACGGGTCCCCCACAGGCAGCAGCTTCCCCCCAGGCCCCCTGCTCCTGCGTGGGCTCCTCTCCGTGGGCTGCAGCTCCGGCCCGGGGCCTGCTCCTGCAGGGGCTCTCCATGGGCTGCAGCCTCCTCCAGGCCACATCCACCTGCTCCTGCGTGGGCTCCTCCATGGGCTGCAGCGTGGAGATCTGCTCCATGTGGGACCCATGGGCTGCAGGGGGACAGCCTGCTCCACCAGGCAGCAGGGGAACTGCTGCTGCATGCCTGGATCACCTCCTGGCACAGACCATGGGGTCTGCAGGGCTGCTTCTCACCTCTCCCAGCTGCTGTTGCACAGCATTATTTTTTCTTCCTTCAATCTGCTCTCCCAGAGGCCCAACCAGCCTCACTCCCTGGCTTGGCTCTAGCCATCAGCGGGTCCCCTTTGGAGCCAGCCGGAGCTGGCTCTGATCTAACATGGGGCAGCTGCTGGGCTCTGCTCAGAGGCCACCCCTGCTATCAAAACCCTGCCATGCAAACCCAATACAGTTTATGTACAGGAAAAACCCTGTGCAGTCCATTCTTTGTTATGTAGGTCCTGGATTTATGAGGCTGAGGATAAGCTGTTCCTGGACTGAAGAGACACCAGTGCTCGATACTTTCAGCCACACCAAGGTGCTGTGACCTGCACTGGTGCATCCCTGCAGTGCTGAGATGTACAGGTACAGAGGTAATTCTGGTGCTTCCTGCACTCTGCAGTTAGCACAGTTGTATATTATGCCAAGTTTATTTGACTTGTGTTTTGCAATTGCTTTCATCTGAGTTATCCCTTTGGCTAGCATGAACAAGAATTGATTGTGCTCTGGACTCAACAAAAAAATGTAATTTCCATATTTGACCAGGAGAGGGCAATATTACGTCACCTAAAAGACAGAAAGGTCACGCTAATAACAGAAATTCATGTTATGAAATAAAGGAAAGAAATTGACGGTTTATAGCAATGTAGCATGACACTTCCACTCTCTTTTATAGCTATTTTGAATTTTGATGTTCAGTTTATAAGCATGCCCTTTAGAGCCCAGCTCCCATCAAGACTCCTCAGCCTCCAGGTTGAAGTCTGAAGGTCTAAAGTAAACTTATTTATCCTCAGAGAGCAAGGGTTAATTTGAAAGAAAAGCAGGAAAAGGCACTTGAAGAAAGGCAGGAACAAGGAAATAAAATTGCTTCTTTCTTTTTTTATAAGTTCAGAGAAGATAAAAGAGCTGTCTATGTAGATTTCAGCTCTCATACTGTTGCTCTGGCATTGCAAACCTGTGTGTGTGAGATGCGGTGGCCATGTACATGCAGGCAGCACAGCATTCCTTGCATCTTACCTGTCTCTGCTTCCTGCCTGCTGATCTTTCTATCCCCCTGTTCCAACTGGTGTGTCCTACTGGCCTTACAGTCTAATGCACACTGTGGGTGCACTTCTACAGGTGCCACTGCACTGTAATGTAATTTCTATCCGCAGTGCTTTTCCGTTAAGATGAGATCCCAGGGGAGTGGAACTAGGGGGTCAGAAACACAGCCCAGTGGCATGGATGGGTGCAGACACCCTGCACCCAACTGTTTCTTTGGAAGAACCTCATGTTCAGAGAATTTCTGCCAAATCTGGGGTACGTTTCTTGGCAGACTGTGCCAGTTTCCATCTAACATTCACCCAGATAATACTTATCACGAAAATCATAGTAGTGCAGTGCAGACAAACAGCATACTCCAAACAATCTGCTGGTTTCATTCTTTTTTTTTTTTTCATATCAAAAAGTCAAATCTTGCACAATTTGACATTTCCTGCAGAAATGTTGCTTGCTGACTAATTATAAGCAAAGCACCGTGGCTAGCATCTCCCAAATAAAGTTTCATATGATCTTCAGTTGTCCTGAATAGTAAAAAAACAAGTAGCATACACTTCAGAAACACTGTAGACCATAGCAGCCACGGCTTGAAGTTACTGGCAGTTTTTGTGCTTCAAAGAGCTCAGAAGAGTTTTGCAAATGTTAAATAATTAAGCAGAAAATCTCTGTTGGCTAATATAGGCAAGGGAAAAAAAGGATCAGCTGACAAACTACAGAAATTCACCTCTGCAGAACAATGCATACAACAACTGCACAGTAATTGAAGACAAATAATTAAAAATGAAGAAGGACTTGAATACAAACATATTTAATTGGACCTAGATGCTTTTGTGAATTACTCCTTGTTTTGTTTGTTGTTTTTTTTTTTTAAATTACAGTAAAACCAAGAATTTAGCTGCATCCCATCAGCCTGACCAAAGGAACTGTCATGGGATACTGGTTACACACTGGAAAACTGCCTAGTTTATCGCTGGCTGCTACAGCACCTCAGCAAATACTCGGGGTCTGAATAGGTCCAGCCCTGCTGACCCATGAGCTCCCACATGTTAACAGCACAGGCAATAAGGTTGTTGATCAGAATTTAGGAGAACATTAGTGCCAGCAAACATTTCCTTGGCCATAGCACTTGCCAAGGTCTAATGCTACAGAATTTAAACTGTCAGTGAAGTAAGGACATACCATCATCACTTATCCCCTTGTCCCTCCTGTTCTCACAGGAATGCCTTCAAGCTTTCAATAGTAACTTGACAGCCTTCTGACCACATTTGGAGTAGACCACTTGAGAAGAGACATCCCCTGGAAATGGTCCTGCTGTCATCACCACAGCAGCATGATGAGTTGGTGATAGCTTTTGAAGGTTGAACAGTCCAACGGTTGTTCTGGTAGACAAGGCCACAACAGCTTACACACCTTTCAGTATTTCCCATGTACCAAGAGATGTGGTGTCCTGGATCCATGTACTGGATCACAGTCATACAAGAAGTTTTCTGTTGGCAAGAAAAAAATACATAATCACTAAGCAGAGACAGTAACCTGTCCATAATAATATCTGTCTACCTGTCAGTACCTTCACTTCTCTTAGTGACTTCTGAACTTCTTGTTCAATTGTACCTGCATCTGATAGAGGAAAAGGCCTCAGATTTTACATTGCTGCAGTTTGCACATGAACTGTTGTATGAATAGAAGGGAAAGTCCACAGCCCTTGCTCCCTCAGAAGGAAAGGCAGCTCCTGACCAAGCAGAGGTACTACTGCACTTGCCCACTGGGCAGGGAAATGTACTTCACCTAATGCAATAAACCCCCATTAAATGTACTGCAATCATGACAGAATTTAAGTTTACCCAAACTCCACCATCTTTACAACTATTTTGAGACTGTTTTATGCCTCTATATTTACAGTGAGATATTGACACAATTATGTGTGACTCAGTGGGATACTATTTTCAGGGTTGTGATAGTCAAGGATCATATTTTTAGGTGCAGTACAAATGGCTTCTTACCACTGCTAATCATTATTTTTTCTGGTTGGAAGCATCTACATTTTCCTATCTGTACAATTAGAAGTGGGAAATCATTCGTTTTCCTCAAATGATTCTATGATTTTGAGTCAGCCAAGGTAAACATCATAAAACCCGTAGGGTGTTGGCAGTAGCTTATTACCATGAAATGTTTGGCAATAGGGAGTTACTATGACTCCCTCTGCTGTACATCGTAACTACCCACTCTTTAAGACTGCAGCATCCACTTGAGGGACCTAATAAAGATTAAATGTCAGTTTCTTGGCACCTGATTCAGGAAAACTATAGTCAAAATCTCCATACAGATGCACAACTGAAAGCAAATTGGCTTGCTGATACTGATAATAGAAGGACTACTATACTATAATACAAAAATACTTGTGTAAAAAAAATATATATACATATTATTAAGGCTCAACTAGTACTGAATGCAGTACTGAAATAATATTGCAACTTTAGCAACTATAGGATGAAATCTTCAAAAATGCCTAAATTAATGAAAACTATTTCCTCGCTTTTTCCTTTTTTTATTTTTTTCCTACATATATATGAATAGATAGAAATTACAGTTTTATCGTGACATAATAAGCATGACATTTGATAAGTCATTTCACAGATTGAAAAAAAGATGTTTTTATGGGAGATCCTGGTGTAGTGGTTTGTGGGAGCCAGAAAAGTGCTAATTCCAATCGCAGAAAGCCATTGACCAACATTTGCGGTCAGATCACTTGACCTTTTTGTTCTTCAGTCATCCTAGCTGAAAAGTGTATTAAATGTAGTGCTGCTGGAAAATGACAGCGCACGCGTTCATGCATTAATGTATTTTACCGCATATAGGATATTGTACTTCTCCTTCCCTTTCAGTTTGTAGTTTCTGGTTTCCTAAAGTGTTATGCAGAATCCTGTGCAAGTGATGTTTTACATTTCCTAAACCTTTTATATCCTCGAAGTTTGAGAAATTAGGTGGTATTAGCTTTCCTCTCCTGGATTTCTACAGACATTTCAGGCTTGTCTTTTATCTAAATCATTTTATGGCCCATTAATTGAATAGATAGTGTTTCGCAGCAAAGACTGAAGGGTCATTTAGCATTTTCAGCATGACTACAACATGAACATTCATGTATTTTCAGCCAGAAGGCTGATTCTATTTATTTATTTATTTTTACTGAGCTTTAACAACCAAAAAGTGATCTTGGTATTCATTGTTCTTAATAACTGTAAGTTTTGAGATTAAATTTAAGAAATAAAATAGTTTTTTGTTGTTGTTGTTTTGTTTCATTTGTTTGTTTAAAATGTCATTGCCTCTAATGCCATGTTGAGAATCATAGAAAGGCAAGGGAGGAAAGAACTACTGTTTTTAATTAAACTGAATAAAAACCAACAAGGGCCTACCCACTACCTCCCATTAAACTGGAGAAAGTTTTCATGTGTGAGGTATGAAAATATGTGTTTTTAAAGAAAATCCATTTAAGTATTATACATATTAACTCAAGATTAGTTTTGTAAACCAGTTTAATCCCTGCTAAAGAACTTTGTTACTGATTCAGATGAAAGACCTGCTCAGGGAACCACTGCCATTAGCAGTGAGGTTGTACAAACAGCCTTATAGCCTTGTGTTACGTAGGGTCATAACAAGTCAAACAGATAAAGCCACGCTTCTCATAATTATTGGTGGTATTCTAAGTACTGGATGGTATTCAAACAATTCAATCTAATCTATGTTGAGACTACTTGGCCAAGTTGTACCATGTGCCAGGGAAAAGGGAACATGCACACTCCGTGGTGTTCTTCTGCCCTTGCAAACTGATGCTCCACCCTTTAAGATCTTGGAAATGTGCTGAGCTGCACACACCCTTTTCAGACAGCTATGGATGGATAAAATCCACATTTGATTAAATGGTTGTTTGCCTTTGGAGTCTATAAGATTTCTTGGCTTTTTGGAAAACAGCAGGAAAAAATAGGCATAGGAGTTCAAAAAGAAGGGTAGACTGCAGGACTAGCATTATACCTTTAGCTAATAAACAGCCTTTCTAAAGTTAATGAGACTATTTACATTCCACAGTATTACTTCTGTGGGCATCCTCTGCACTTGAGTTAGTGTCATTTGCTGTGGGTCTTTAACTTCTTAATTTTTCAGTAGTTATTTGTGTGGAGGATATTTTTAATGAGGCTACACTGGAAAGTGAGGAAAGGAGTTGATCATTCATACATAAGTACCTGTAACTGAGAGTTAACAGGTATTTTAAAACTTCCTCATTCAACTTTCATTCAACTTTCATTCAACATTCAAGGCCTACCAAAGAGTATGGCAAGTTATAGTCTATTGTATAATTTAAAGTAGTGAAATCTTTGAGATGTTCTTTAAAAGACAATGTTGTCTTCTTGAATAGCAAGTAACTATACTTAATTTATAAGAATTAGATGTTATTGTTTCAATTCACAAGAAGAGATCATAATCTTTTACTCACATATTACTCATTCTTATGAGAAATCTGGCTTTTTTTAATCTATCACATGTCAGAGTTTTCATTCTAAGGATTCTCTGAACATCTAAACATCCACTTGGCAGTACATAACAAACACTTCACATATATAAGTAATGAAGGTGTCACAGTATGAAGTGCCAGCTGCATAAGAAGGCAAAACCTTCTGAATGCAGGCTATGGCCAAATTCCAAGGAGATAGATACTTCCTAGGGGGGAAATATAATAAAGTAAAAGTATAGACTATTACAGGGGGAGTGAAGGGTGACAGTTAAGAAAGAAAGAAGGAGCATAAAAAGGACAAGTGCTGGGTCCTGCACCTGGGGCACAACAACCCCAAGCAGAGCTACAGGCTGGGAGAGGAGTGGTTGGAAAACTGCCTGGCGGAGAAGGACCTGGGAATATTGGCAGATAGTCGGCTGAATATGAGCCAGCAGTGTGCTCAGGTGGCCAAGAAGGCCAATGGCATCCTGGCTTGTATAAGAAGCAGTGTGGCCAGCAGGACTAGGGAAGTGATTGTCCCCCTGTACTCGGCTCTGGTGAGGCCGCACCTCGAGTACTGTGTTCAGTTTTGGGCCCCTCACTACAAGAATGACATGGAGGTGCTTGAGAGAGTCCGGAGAAGGGCAACAAAGCTGGTGAGGGGTCTGGAGAACAAGTCTTACGAAGAGTGGCTGAGGGAGCTGGGTTTGTTCAGTCTGGAGAAGAGGAGGCTCAGGGGCAACCTTATTGCTCTCTATAGTTACCTTAAAGAAGGCTGTAGCGAGGTGGGGGTTGGTCTATTCTCCCACGTGCCTGGTAACAGGACGAGGGGGAATGGGCACTAGGGGAGGTTTAGGTTGGATATTAGGAAGAACTTCTTTACCAAAAGGATTGTTAGGCATTGGAATGGACTGCCCAGGGAAGTGGTGGAGTCACCATCCCTGGAGGTCTTTAAAAGAAGTTTAGATGTAGAGCTTAGTGGTATGGTTTAGTGGAGGACTGGTTAGTGTTAGGTCAGAGGTTGGACTAGGTGATCTTGGAGGTCTCTTCCAACCTAGATGACTCTGTGATTCTGTGATCTATGGACTCTTACACCTATTGTACAAGTAGTAGAAAATGTGATGCCCCTTACTTGTATTATTTGATATGGGGCAAAACTAGGATTCAGGCAGTACAAGGAATTGCAAAAGCAGCTAAAGCAGGAGTCACTGAACATCCAGAGATATCTTTACATCCGTGTGCATATTTTCACTTCTTTCTGCTGTCTGACTGTCTGTTATAACCCTCTCTCTCTCCATTTTGTCCCGCTGCTTTGTCCACCTCAAGCCACTGTAACTAACAATGGCTGCTGACATCCCACTGTTCGCTGTACTTCCTTTTCCTCCTTCTGCACTTATCTCATGCATTTGCATTGAAAGGTCCCTGGGACAAGAGACTCTCAAATATTGTGTTTTCACAGTGCCTTTAGGCCAACTCTGGTTCCTGAACTGATTTATCATACAGTGCTAATCTACTCACTGTAAGAAGGCACAGAGTGTCTTAACAGATAGCACTTTACAATAGATTATGCTCTCTCACTGCTGAGTCCAAGACCAAGATAACACTATATGTCTACTACTTCGACATTCATAAGAATACTAACAGGGTACCTTCTAAATACTAAAAAAAAAAAGTTCTATCTCGTGATTTCTTGTACATGTTTCTCTACTGAATCCAAAAATTCTTGCAATAGGCATAAAGAAGGACTGCAGGGGGATATTATTTCTACCATGAAATTCTCTCTGCTTTTCCTCAAGCATATTAGGAATGTGTCCATATCCATTTTCTCAAAAATAAAATGGATAGATGGCTTATAGACAGTGAAATGAAGGATTGTAACTGAACATTAAAGGCTTTGGTGGGATGAAAGTTGTGAAAAAAGTTTGAATCAACTTACTGCGAACTTGGAGGGAACTTGTTGCTTCCAGGCGAATATCCAGTTCAGATGCTGATATCCATGGAATCCAGTAGGAGCCACCAAATACCCAGGATAACACCGAGTTGACCATTCATTCATTACACCAATGGTCTAAGCTAACACAACATTGAGTAGACCATTCATTTGTTACAGCAGTGGTTCAAGATAACACGGTTATCTATATCTAAGAGGTCTGATATACTGTGATGACATACTAGAGGCTTTTTAGGTTCCTCCATTGGCCCCAAAGGCAGAAGATGTCAGGAAAGAAGGAATAGACATGAAGAGCAGTTGCACAATTTATACAAAACCATGAATATAGTTATACCACCATTTTCTCTGGTAACAAAAGTGCTTGAGAATTTCCTGATTCTCTTTTTTTTCACTTCTCTTGTCCTCACACATTTCACTTCATATACTGCAGATGACAGCCCACAAAGCTGTGCACATGAAACACTCTGAGCAATGCTGCAAACAAAATCATCATGAGAGTAGGAATTCCAGTGGCAACACAAGCAGGGAACTTCCCAAACTGGTTCTGCCCACAGAGAAAGACAAGTACCTATACCATACTTCTAATTTTTCCTATCAGGATATTTGCATTCATAGTAATGGATTTAAAATAGATCAGCTTTTACATAATTGTGGGAGACAGTGCAGAAATCTTGATCCCCAAGTTAGACCACTGTTGTAGATGAGCTTATCTTCTATATTCTTGCTTGTGCTTATCTTAACCAAGCTAACAAGCTCAGGCTTGCCTATCTTATTTTCCCTGATCTGTGAACAGCAATGATAACATTTACTAGAGAACAATGTATTAGGAGAAATCAATTAGACCTTATGAAATATATTAGTACCCATGCATGCAAAATTCCATACCATGATTTTGCATGTTCTGGTTCATCAGAAAAATGTGAAATAAACGTTATTTATTTCACAAATGCAGACATATTTAAAATACATTCTTGTTATTTATAATCTCTCCTTCTATATAACTGTTTGACCATCACTTCTGACACCTGGAAGTTAGGTTTGCATAAACCTCTACAACCAAAAATTTGTCTCACTGATATTTATATAACTTTGATAACGAATATTTTTTTTTAAGTCATGCAAATAATTCTGTTGTGTAAAGCCAGACCATACACAAGCTTTATGATGAAATCATTTGTGTTGTGTCCTTATTTAGATTTCCATATTTACTTAACAAAAGGTTTCGCTGGGGCTTTTCAGTCCATATTTACATAGATCCATCAAAGATGGCATAGTTAGACGCAGGATGTAGTTGAAAGTAGACAATAGCACAGCAGGGTTAAGGTATTGGGCTGCGGCTAAAGTGTTTTGTTAGGAAGATCTGATAAGTGCTTAGACTTTTTGCTAAAATAAAGACCCTAACAACAGTGGGAATTCAACGGGGTAATCACACTTAATGCAGACTGTTTAGAGCAATTAGAGTTGATTGGCAGTGTCTTAAAGCCCTTAAACAGAAACAACATATAAAAAGAACTGACCTCAATTGGATTTCAGCTTCATTGCCAGTTTCAGTCTAATGCATTATATCAACTGGTTTAATGCACTTAAGAGTTAAAGTAGTTTTATTAGGCCTGTGGCTGTAAAGTATTCTTACTAAGACTTCTATCACAGAAATATTAAACACTTCATGTGGTACGCAGGTGTATCAGTAGACACTGTAAATAAAGCATTTGTACTTGCCAAGGGATAGATCTCTGTTCTGAGATGCCCATGAGGTATTTATCAATGAATGGATCAGGAATACCGAGGGGAAAGGCAGAAAGACAGTGACAGATGATCCGATAGCAGAACAGACTACAAATACAAAGTTTGTGAAGGCTCATTTTTAAACAACTCTGGTTTTGTGCCTATAAATAACATGAGATACTTAAACTACAATGGATACAATACTCTGATTTAAATCCATGCAAACTGAAGTCACCAAAATAAGGCTGACTTTTCCTTTCCCAAGGATGCACCACATAGCTCTAAGTGGAACTAGGGAATGCAAAGAGTTGCAAGGTCAGTAACAGAGTGCTTTGGACCTTTGACAAGACATGTTTCTGTGATAGTATGATAATATCTTTGGGCCCAAATTTGTTAAGGCGCCCATTGATGTCACCAAATTTTCAGTAGTAGTTTGTCCTTGACAGATGAGTTATCTGAAATGACAATGTCGTACTTATCTAGTCCTTAGGGTACAGACAGGGTTTGGTCAGAAACACAAACCATCTACCTGGAGCAGGTTAAACGATGGCAATCCAAGTCAAAATTACCATACCCTCAGCTGAAATGCAGGGCTAGACTATTTGCATGCTCCTAAATTGCCATAGTGCAGAACTTCAGTAGTTTAAAGCACCTCAATTTAGGAGGCAATAACTTTTTAAACAGTACTGTCCCAGACATTTTTTAATGTCTATTCTTTCCAATATTTTGTATTTTATGTATTTATTTTTATACATTACTTATATGTTGATATCAAGACATCTTGTGTTGATCTGACATTTGCTTCTCGATAATGATATACATTAGTATATCATTACACTGTGATACATTGTGATAGTGTATCTGCTACTACAGGTGTTGCAAAGAGATGCAGAGAAGGAACACAGACACAAGCAGGCTGCTATGGCTGTCACTCCAGCCAGTGCTTTTTGGACTTTGGAGGTAGGAGACAAAGCTGAAATCCACAGCTGAATACACTGCTCTGGAAGCAGATTTTATGCAGTCAAACTCATGTCACAAGTTCGAAATAATGACCAAAGAGAATAATACTCTGACAGTTTGAATGTATGGTGCGGTTAGTAAGTGCAAAAAGGATAACATCTTTTGGAGAAAATCTTCTGGAGAAAATCTTCTAGGAACCTCCATTTTCATGAAGCTTCACCAGCAGATTTTGCTTTATGACAGCAAAGAAAGCTGCTGTTTTAACTCTCCTAATCAAAGCCTTAGGTTTTATCAGTAGTCATAGTGATTCCATCTACACAAGGCTGGGAATCGCCTCACCCGTTCAGCACCCAGCAGATAAGCTGCTGGTCTGACCAACTCACTCAGGCTCTCTCCATGGTCAGTAGAGCCAGAATAAGCACCTTCATAGTGATATTCCTCCCATCCCCAGACAGGTATATAAACCAGGTAGGACAGGGAGGTATCTACAGTGACTATCTACAGGAAGCACTTACACAATCAGCTCAAGCTGGGAGCTTACCTTTAGCTTAGCTTTCAGTGATGGAAGTTTAGATAAATGCTTGCAAGAGGTGGCTAGCACAGTCCAGACATCAGCAGAATTATGACCTTCTTCAGCAAAATGATCAGGGGAGATCTGAGCCAGGCAGATTCCTCGTGCTCCCACTTCAGCAGCAGATGGTGAAATCTTTCATCTGCTTTCAAATCCTGTAGGACCAGAGATTTCTTTTGCCGTTTTACACAAATGGTCTTGTACAAATTGGCAACTGCTGAGCTGTTTGCTTGCTCCACTTTGTTCCTTACTGGTCATAAACTACAAGTTTCAAATCTGTTTATGCTCACATTTCACCAAAACCAACGCAAGTAAATGATATTCCATATACATGTAGTTTCTATGTTTCACTACCTCAGAAAACCAGGAAAAGTGAAATTAAAATAATCTTAAACTTTCAAAGGCAGACTCTCAAAACTTAAGGAACTTCATGGCTGTTTGGCTAGTAACACAATTTTGAGGCTTTTTGCCACACAAACAGCTTTGCTCTAAGATCTGTTTTTATTTTTAAAACATTAGCTAGATGCTTGTGGCTACTTAGAGTGTTAGTTAATTAAAAAAAAAAAAAAAAAAAAAAAGCAAACACACACACACAAAAACAAAACAAAACAAAAACATTGAATTAACATCCTTTCCCTTGCCATGGGGAGCACACAGCCAGAGGATAATGAGTTTTATTAACTCTCATAATGTCAGTGTTGATTGCATCCAAATATTGGATCTGTTATTTGTCGGTCCCCAAAGAACCACCTACAGAAGCAAATGGGTCAAGGATTAATTGATCAGAGCAAAGTTCTCTCCTTCCAGATACGGTATTGCTATTGTGGCATTCACACATGCAGGATAGGAGAGCCAGACTTTGAGACAGGGCTATTTCTACACTGCACCAATCAGAGTACCACCTTCCTTTTGCCTGGGTTCTCAGATAGGCAGTGACATTACTACAGCCTTGCAGCAGCTGCCAAATACAACACTGGTCTCAAGTGGAACCTATGGAGGAGTTCTCCAACAAAAGGGTGTTTGTTTGTTTTTAAACCCAATTCTAATTTGTGGAGATGGAGATGTAACCTGAGACTACACAGCCTTACAGGAAATTCTCACCAGGAAAGGAATCTCCATCACAGGAATTTGGAGAGACATCTCCACCCTAGACTAAGGAATAGATCAGTGATTAGGACACTTGCCTGGGATGGGGAAGACCTCTTGTTCCTCTGATGGTTTTGCACTTGGCTCAACAATGAGCCTTGGGCTATTGAAGAAAGAATTTTTCACAGGCACCTCTGAATGTTAGTAGACAAAAACTGTGTTGTTTCATAACATAGAAAAAAATACCAAATATCTAGATGTTATCCCTGTATCTCCTAAGTAGACTTTTCCCTCAAATTCCCTCTTGACTACACCATCAGTGAGATCTGTCTAGATCCATGTCTGAGGGTAGGACAAATAGATAAAAAGGGGAAAAAATAAAAAGAAATCTGCTCTCTAAGTTAACTCATTGTTGAGGATCCAAGAAACATCAGTAGCAGCAAAAAGGAAAAGGAGCATATCTAGGAATGAAGGAACAAAACCTGTTTTGCCTTGTTGGGTAACAAGTAGCCTTTAGTTCATGTTCATGATATGATCAAGTCACCTCTATACATTTCTCTTCCTACCTTGCTCATTGTCCTTCCTTCCTCCCCCCCCCCTCCCCCCTCAGTTTTATTTTTCTTTTTTCTTTTTTTAATCCAGCCTTTATTACAAGCAGCCCTTAGCTGGAAAGCGTTGGCAAATACCCATGACAACCCCCATGGTTTGATCTCAGTGATATTTTCTAACCTGTAAAGAGCAGAGAATCCTGCAAACTCCGAAAACTCCACAGATTTTGAGGAAGCAGTTAAAAACAATTGCTTCCATGGTGCATTCTTGTCAGCTGGGGGTGAATTTTCAGGAATTTGCCTCATTGCTCACATCAGGCTCAGCCATCTCTATTGTTCACATGTTGACTCACCCTGGGACTTGCTCTGTGCTGTGCCAGCCAGTTCTGTAGTAGGGCTATGCAGGTCCTTAGGGGGACTGTCCTGTCCTTCTGAAATTAAGCAGAAATGCCATAATTTCTTGCCCCTTAAATTGTCTTTAAGTGGATTTCATTTTGGATTTAGCTCATGTTCAGGGTAAGTTTGAGAAGCAGAACTGGTTGACAGAAAAAAAAGATGTTTAGATGGTATTTTTCAATTGCAAACCCACATACCAGTCAGCATTTCCTAGCTCTTTTACAGAATACTGGTAAAAGTAACATCGAAGCAGTTCAACACTTAAGATATATCAAAAACTGATGTACTCTGTTCCCAAAATGCATCAAGATATTAAAAACAAAGTAATGAAATGTAGGAATTTAAAATATATATTTTTAAAAATGCACAAAAGCCTTCTGAAGAAGCTAAATACAAGATGCATTTGGGTCACTGCAAATTGTAGTGCTTCACAATGTGTTCCAAAAAATTGTAAATTCTCAACTCCAGAAAAACTCCAGTGACAGAACTAAACACAGGTTTTCAAGAAATACATCTGTTACTTATACATTTTACCATGCTACTAAGAGCTGAACAACATGCTAATAAGACTCCAGAAATATCTTAAATTCAAACCTTCCTGAAGCACATTTCCATAAGTTATTTTCCTTTTTTCCTTTAACAACATCAGTTAATCTTGACAATGTGAATGGAACATATTCCATGCCAGTTTCAAAACTCACCTCACTGGTTTCATACAGCTGATTAAGTAAATTCTCTGTAGTAACAGTGAGTTGGGTGACCCAGCAGTGGTTGGCACAAGCATTCACAACTCCACATTACTGGAAAGTAGATAACATACCTATACAATGAGATGCTGCTCTCTTATTTTATCTAATGCAACTGCTCATGGGCACATCTTCTGAAAAAGACTGGAAAACAGACATGATTACAAAGAAATTTTAAATGAAAAAAAAAAAAAAGTTTAGAAAAATAGATCAAAAAGCACCCATAAGCCAGCACCATTACTTATATCAGTCTCAGTAAAACAGTAGAGGAGATAATGGGGTTTAATGTAGTCTGTAACAAACTTTGAGCTTACTTATTCTTGAGGAGCTCAGCAAAGCTTCCACTTAATGCAGCAAGCCAAGCTCTCCTTAAAATCGGTGATGTTGCTGGATATTAATATTGAAAGCCATCTGCAGCTGGGAAAGCTGCATGTATTTTAGACAAGGCAAAGCCTCCAGGGTAGCCTTGTTTTGTTAAAATGGATAGAGAAGCAGGTTAAAGGGTATGAAGATAAATAATAAATGAGTGACAGCTCAAGACCACAATTAGGCCAAGGTTAATAAGGAGTAATTCCAAAGTATAAGGGATTTCTCTTTAGAGGTAACATCCATGTAGTAAATGCCTTGCTGTAAACTTAATAGATAAAGCCACCTGGCATTACAAATGATTACAAAATAGGAAAGAGGTTATACATAGGAAGAGCGTAGGTAAAAGTCAGATGACTAGCTTAACCTTACATGAAGTCAGGCAGTAAGTTTTGTTTACCTCTGTACACTCTTCCAGTGCTCTAGTGAATGCTACAAGCACTTACAAGGCACACCTGCAAATATTTTTCTCCCTTGAATTTTCTCCCCTTATGCTGCCTCAGCAACAACCTCATGCTGATGTTCCTGAAGAAAAAAACATCAGTGAATTTGTCTGGCCTCTTGTCACACAATCCTAATATTCAAGAAGGGGTTTTCCAGGCATAACTAGCTTTTCTCTGTCTGCTACTGGCACAACTGAAAGGGAAATCCCTTTCTATAGGGACTTGAAATTTGATAACTGACAGGAACTATACTAAGTTCTGCTCATCTGTGTGCTATCTATTTTCCATTTACCTTCTAGACTGGTAGGTCTTCTCAAGGCAACTGGGGAAACCTGGAGAAAATAACATTTACCAAAGAAAAATGTTGAATGTTGAATTAAATTAGTGCTTTTTTTTTTTTTTTTTTTTTTTTTCCCCTGACTGTCTTCTCACTGTTTATTTGATCACACCATAGTGAATGGCAAACCTCCCTATGATATGTCTGGCTCCTGCTGAGCATATTAACTTATCTGTCTCTTAATCCCATCTTTTACATAATCAATTCCTGTGACAAACCACAGCATTTCATCCTTTTTTAAGGGCACACATCGTAGAAACAAGATACTGACTAGGTATAAATTTGTTACATGAGATCAAAATAACAAAGGGCACAAATACTATAAAAAAGATACTGGCAATGTACAGGTTTGATACATGAGATCAATGTACGATAGGAAAAAAATTATAACTGGTAAGAAACAGGACTTAAAAAAGAGATCATAAAATTATGACACCATGGCACCTCAGGAAAGGGAGAAAGCTTTCAGAAGTGATGTAAATCACATTATTAGTCAAGACTGACTTTACCTCTTTGAGCCTGCAGCAGTGGAAGTGCCACTTGTCATGCATTAGAATACATGTACTTCAGCCACAAGTGCAGGTTTCCATCACACTAACTCCAATAAATAAGTAAATAAAAAGAGCCAATTCCATGGTCAAACCCTAGTTTATCATAAGTCAATAAGAGTTATCCTCCAAATTTGCTTTCTGGGTCTTTCTATCAAGACAAATTTTTGGTACGAATCACTGATGTTGAGAGGAATGGCTCCTAAAGTACAACGTTAAATCATTTACACAGGAATATAGGAGCACGGATATCCTCTTTTACTGATAGAAACTAGCTTTGCTAAAATAACCTACTTTTTTTTTTTTTTTTTTTTTTTTTTTAATCTAACATATAGCCAGCCAGAGAGCCGATGTGTAGCCATAAGGATATATAAGCAAAAGTAGAAGTAGGAGTAACATACACATGACCAGGTGCTTTAACAGAAGGACATCCTCCAGCTATCAAAAATTTAAGAAATTATCATTTCTCTAACTAACCCGCTCCCCTCAAAACAAAAACAAAAAATATAACTTCAGGGAAACATCAAGCACCACATCAGCCCAGAAGTACTATAATAATAATAATTTTCCTGAAGGTTGCTCAAGCAATCACTGTTGTGACACTCATTGTTTCAGTTGCAGAAACAATGAAGGAGATAGTGGAGGAGCTAATACACCTCTCTGAGTGAAAACAGTCTTGCCAAAGACCTGGCACAAGGCTGTTATCCTCCTGGCACCTCCAGAGAAGTTCCAGGTGGTATCAGCTCAGGTAACCAACATTAGCTGAGTGATTAAATGGATTATGGCCTCATCTCACAAACATCCTCACAAGAGGAGCTTTTACCCAACATGAACAACTGAAAGAATTAAATTTGCACTCTGTTAGAAGCCCAGTGGATCTAAAATACAATACTAATACTGGAGATACAAGATATATTTTCTTAAGTACTTAAATGTAAAAATATTCCAGGGCAATAAGTAATTACAGCATTTGAAACTGCTGTTTAAAGGTAGGCATGATATTTCAGATGTCATTTAGATGATCTCCCTCTCTGTGTAGAAAACTGCGATAAACAAGTAGATATCATCACTAGGCTAAGCAAGAACAGACCAGAAACAAGAACCCTGTGCTATGTGCACTGGATATTTCTAAAGCAACAGCATAGCAAGACAGTAGTAGCTGGATATAATTTTGAAAGCTTAACTCTCAAATTACTTTGGCAACAAACAATTGACGTGGTCTCTTAAAATCCTGCCTGATGTCAAAGAGCACTGCTTCTCATTTGTGTTACCTCTTAAGTTTCCTATTTTCCTAGCTCACAACACTGTGCCCAGCCTGCCGGAGAGAGAAGACTGCAGTAATTATTGCTGATTACCATGTTAAACTCATTAATGATGTACGGTGTCTTATGTTCATGTATCACCTACCTACAGACAGTGTATACTTCAAACAATGGTGATTATATTTCAAGATTGATACATTTGCTTTTTATCCTCTTAGATCAATCCAAAAGACATACACCTATTGGTCATCTTTATAATAAACCTGATGAATGAAAATATTGCTGATGGTCATAAATCCTAATGTTTCCTCATTCTGTTTTGATTTTCTCTGCAAGGATGATTTGGTCCCACTTCAGAGGTCCTTTAGACTAAAAGCCTGTATATTAAGATTACTTACCAGTGGATGAAATAGCTAGGTAGTTTAGAGGATTTTTCATTTTGGGATTACCAGCAACTAAAATATGGCCTACGGTGGCTCTGGGTGGTAGCTGTTCAGTGACCCATAAAAAATGAGCTGATAGTAGAAGTCAAGTCCTTGGAGACTAGATGTCCAGGTGGGAAGGGTGAGTGTTGATGGTCAAAAAAGACATTAGAGTCCAGCTGAGTGGATGCTGAGCACGAACTCCCAAAGTGTCCCAGACTCCTTCGTGAGGCCAGGAAGGCCCTTGCACACAGCAAAGACATTACCCTACTTGCAGTTAAAACCTTTAACTTTCCAGTGCCACTGGAAACCTGTCCTGCTAATTAATTTCTCATTTATAACTGACAAAAGGGAGGAAAAGGGGGAAGGAGAGGGAGGAAAGCAGGAGGTAAGCGGGAGACATAGCTACACGCATGTGGGTCCATCCTGATATGAAGCATGGTAAAGCCAAGTCTCATAAACCCTTCTGTAGCAGGAGTGTCCTGAAACAATTTTCCCTGTTTGTTTCTAAAATTAAAATGTTAGGCACAAGGTTTCAAAAGCAGCAAATGTTCTCCAAATGTTAACCAGTAGGCTTGTTGTATTTATGATGGACTTTTTTCAAAATACTAACCAGTAGCGCAGATATATTTTCTATGGACTTTCTCTGAAGTGTTAACCAGCTGACGTATGTAGAGTTAAAAAACATAAGCAAATATATTTGTAGATGTCTTCATTTTAATCTCTCTCTTTCTCTCTCTCTTCCCCCCCCAACTTCCGTCTAGCACATTGAAGCCACTGTTATTGCCCTCTGGTTACTACTAAAGTTTTCCTGGGCAATTATATATGAGTGCACTTGTGCAGGACAGAAAGGGAGTAATTAAAAAAGTATCTTTGCAGATAGACAGTAATGATCATTGGATTTTCCTTTTCAATTTCAGTAATATTTTAACCTTGATTTCAGTGATTCTGTGTTAACAGACTCATTTGCATCTTACAAGTAGCAAGTATTAGAAAGGCATGTTTCAGTATCATCTAGGGAAAAACAAACAAACAAACAAACAAAAAACAAAAAACACACACCTCCAACAGAAATACCATTCAGCCTAGATTGCAAGTCCAGGTGTGCAAGTCCACTGTGTACTGTTCGCCAGGATTATTGCTGGTGTTCTGTAGTCATAGCTCACAAGTGAAGTAGTAAAAGGGTAAAATTGAACTCGGGTAGGGAAAACAGGACAAATTTTGGGAGGATGGAAATGCTTTCTCTCTAATGAACACACAGTCCCATGTTCATGGCTGTCAACTGCTCATCAAGACACAAAACTTAATCTAAGAACTAATTTGATGCATGCACCACAGCTCTAGAATTTCACCCTTTCAGTTCCATCTGATAACATAAGCAAGATTACCTGCACACTTTTCCAGAATACTGACTGCAGGCTAATTTTGTAAATCCATATCATTCACATATATGGATTTAATCCCCCATTAGAGAACTAGGTAGAGTCTCTTTTTATCTCCCAAAAGCTGAAATAGACCACCACCAACAACAAAAATTGCGATCTGAATTCCATGTCTCAGGCCCTAGGTATAATTATAATTTGTATGCACAGACAGAATTTCATTTCACAAATTGTACTGTTCCAAAATGTATCTAAAATAGCGTATCAAGGTGTATCAAAATATCACTATTGCATTACTGAAGCACACTTCATCTGTAATTGCTTTCAAGCTAACTAATCTTCCTAATTTTTCTTCATTTTCAATGTTTTACTACACCGGTTTTTGA